GTAGATGAGCAACTTAGCCAGTGCAGTACGACCGCTAGCCTGGGGCCCCTAACGTGCATCATGTAGTAGTGATACACGACCGCACGCCGGTACAATGCTCCTCCAGATCGAAACGGACAAATGTGCGGATTGAACACACGATCCTGGGTTCTGCAGCGCGAGCTTTCACTCCACATTCTCCGAGCTGGTGCGTGGAAGCCCCCTCGGCCACCAATCCCCCGGTGCCAAGGAATAACATATAATAAATGACAACGGTACAGTAGTCTGCAACAGCTAGCTTTTCAGTGCCTTGAGCAACCAGGTTGAGATCACGTGACACTTTCCTGCCATATGTGGCTTGCAAAATAGAGATGCATAAGTCATAAAGCAAGTAATAATTTGATTTTTATTTACTAAAGATATGAGCATCTGTATTTGGCTTCCACAACTTCTGAAAGGTACCTCTGAGTGCATAGAGTGGTTTTTTTCATAATTTTACCTCCATGGAGAACTTCCCAGCTGGTAACGGGGCCGTGAAACGCAGACCCCCTGGAAGTCGCACAGGCGCCGAGGGCATTACAGAGGGCCTGCAACATGTCCTCCGAGCAGAGGGCCCTTTCAGTAGCCCGGCAGCCGGTGGATTCTGTTGGAATGATGGGGTAGGGGGAACGCAAGCATTTGCAGATTAACGGACCTTAGAAAACTAGTAGACAGGCACGAAAACATGCTACTCGCCCCCGCAGCGTTTGCCTCACTGGCGCTTTATGGTGAAACAAATCAGCAGCGAGCGATTCATGGAACACACGTCAGAAGAACAGTGCGTCTTGAGTTGAACACCTGAGGACGGCGCTTTATCGCGCGAGTAAAGCATTGGCGTAGCCTGGGTTTTTTGGGGCCGGGGGGGGGGGGGGGGGTGGATTTGGGGTGCGAAATACTGAACCCTCCTCCCTGGCTACGCCACTGGCATTAAGTGACATCAAATGTCACTTAGACACGGCGCTATCACTGCTAAAATAGGCTACCATCGAACACTGAGTCGTGACTGCGAAGTTTATGACCCACATACCGATATACTACCACACTATCTGTTTGGACAAGTGGCATACAATCTGTCGCTGGGGGAAAAGACTAACAGACGACTGCGCACTCGGCTCGGTCGTACCACACCGATCGCCTAATCCGCTGCTTTTCCGTAACATTTCGTTTTACTTTGCCATACTCCTTTCACGTGCAACTGTTCGTGAATGATGCGAACTGTACAGAGACGACGTAACTCACCCCAGCGAGCGCCATGGCGCGGTTCTCCGGGTGCCACGCTGCGAGAGATCGGCCTTCGAAAGCTCGGCAGCCCGTTCAGCTCGCCGAAGAGGGCTGTAGCTACACTTCGATGCTTCACGGAGACACCGAGACACTTGCTGGCGAAAAGGGGTCTCCGCCAAAAAGTAGAAAGGCTCACTCGCGTCGCACATCACCATGCTGACGTTGGGAAATACCTCGAAATGTACGTTACGAAGTAACGTACATTTCGAGGTATTTCCGGTCTCTTTCTTCCGTATACTGCGTCCTCGTTTAAGCGCTAGCAGTGGATTTTCGAGAGCCACAGAAAAGGCTTTCCGCAATGGCTGCGGAGAAAAGACGACACCGCTTTTTTTACCCCCGAGCTCCCGTCAGCTCCCGCCCGGGAGGCACTCACTTGATCGAATGACATTTTAGCGAATGCCCAAGTTTCATCGAACGACACTTTAGCGAATAGTCGGACGCCGCGAAGCGGCGTTTTCGGGTGGGCCAAATGAGTTCATATTTTTGTAATGAGTTGCCGCAGACTGTCGCCGCGAAGCGGTGTAAAGCGCAGCGCGACGGATGGGTTAACACGCGCCCCCGTTATTCGCTAAAACGACCATTCGCTCAAATGTCGCCGTTCGCTAAAATGTCATTCGCTCTTGTGATATGGACCCGCTCCCGCCCGGAGCCATCGTCCAATCAGAGCGCGGCAAGGTGACGTCACGCCACCGGCCTGCGCGAAAGAGCAGACGGCTTTCCCTCCGTATAAACAGCTCCGCTGAATCTCAGCGTAATCCCGGTTTTAGTTGTTGTGATTTCTAGGCTTTTCAGTAATTCCTGCTAAAACAAAAATCACGAGAATGATAATATTGTAAAAGATTTCTGCGGCTCAGGCCAGGCTGAAAGGTGGATTGAGTGCACAGTATCATAAACGCTGCCATTGACGAGAAATTTTAAAAGTGATATGACAGGTCCTTGAGCCTTATGGGACGCTTGTTCAGGGTGACTACGAATTACACTCGAAACTGTGTAACCATAGAATTAGTAACAATGGAGCGATCACTAGGGAGCTGGATGATCAATGTTCTCATAACTCCTCGAGTGCGGGCCGGGGCACTTGGGAGAATTGTTGACAATAAAAAGATATGAAGTGCTGATTTCAGACTTGTGTCCTTTTGATATCCGTGGCCAAATCTGGAATTTCCATACTTAGCCAGATCGGAGATTTCCATACCTGGCCCGGAATATCAGACTCTTTCTCGCATTATGAGGCTATATTTGGCAGATATACCGTGCCAGGTTATATGTGGCCAATTTTTGATCTGGCCATATCTGAATCTGAAATCTTCAGATCTGGCCAGATATACTGTTTGTAAGGGGTAGCAGGTGCAGTGGCAGCGTCGTCAAGCACGTGCCTGCGCCAAGCAGTTAAAAAAAAACATGCAGTAGACGTTTTGTTTGTTTTCCCAATGATCGTAACAAAAATTAGAATAAGTGTTCATCGCGCAGTAACAATTAAAAGCACGTGCAGTTCCAAACAAAGCTACGTTCAAGCCCTCGCATACAAAGGGCAGCCATTCGTATACAAACATGCAAATGCTTGCGCGAAAAACGCAGGTGGATACATTTCGACTGGGGCACGACCATATGCACGCACGCACACGATGCACAGCCAGTAAACGTTCACACAGATACTCAGACATAACTAAAAACTTTCAGCCTTTTTAGAAGGCTGAAAGAAGGAACACCAGTGAAGCTGTACTCTGGTGAGAATGAAGTAATGGCCGGCCGCAAGCCGGCAAGCCAGAGTGGAAAGGCTGGGAAGGTTGCCGCCATCTATGAGTGACGGCGGCAACCAGACAACCCGCAAGCCGGTTATTGCCGCCGCTGCTAATAGATGGCGGTAGCTGTCCAGAGTTTTGTGTCGAGATTTGTTTGCCCCCGGACACAATACTGGGGAACTAGCCCTTAACTGCTCTGCCACAAAAACACACATACTTGAACACGCACACGCATATAGATCCGCACACCTATACACAAATGCAGACGCAGATACTGGCACTCACAGGCGACTCACATACATACAAAAAAACGTCGGTATTCTCTAGCACATACACGCCTTAAAAAGACAAGCGTGTGCCTTTTTTACAATACACAGACACCAACTTACTATACGCACATAAAAACAAACATAAAACCGCTGTCACTCAGAAACATACGCATTCAAACTACTAAGCTTAGCAAGCGCAAACTTACAAAACAGGATCATCAAATATCGTGGTGACTGATATCTGCAGACTGTCTTGCGTATAATGGTATAAGCAGTGTGACTCCGGCTTAAAGGTACTTCTAGTAGAAGCGAACACCGCAATACGACCCGCAAAAATTGCGTAATAAATATTAAAAATATCAAAAGAAGGACAACACGGACTTCAATATATAGTAGTATCAATCCTCGTGCTCAGGCTCAAAGAGCTACGCCAAACAACGTGCAAAGATAAACAGAAGGAAAAGAAAAAAAATTTCAGCGTGATTATTTTTATTTAGGGAAGTCCGAAGTTTTTATATACGGAGCTAATTTTTTTTTCTGGAATTTTATACTTGCTACAGATTGCCATCAAATATATCAAAAGGCGCACTTGTAGCGCTAGCCGCAACATGACCAGGGCCGGCTTGCTAGAAGAAGTGTCTCAGTTGAGACTGCTCAAAGAAAGCGGTGCCAAGGCTCGGGCGCGCGAGCGTCTGAGACTCGGCTTAAGCTCGAGCGCTAGCCTTGACAGCGCTTTCTTTGAGCAGTCTCAACTGAGAATCTGCTTCGAGCAAGCCGGCCTAGGTGAATATCTCAATTAGATGATTAAATAAGCATTACAAATTGTCTATTTACGTCCCCCGGAGCAGCTGTTCACCGTTCTGCCACAATACACAAAAATATGTAAGTATAAGTTGCAGTAGCTCGACGTAACAATACTTTTTCTTAAACTCTTCTGCCTCGCGCCATGCTGTGGATGACTGGGTTGTGTCATCCACAGCATGGCGCCGCCTCCTTCTCTTTTTCCAATTACGCCCTCTCCGCAATCACTTCCTAAAAAATGAAAGACGTTTGAAACTCTCTGTAATGCCGAATTAGAGCGCAGCTCTTGAGGAGGAGGAGGAAGCGAAGGTACGGAGCTCGAGACGGTATGCACCTCCTCCTCATTTGTACCCTCTCCTCGTCCCTTCTCATCTACTCCTCCCCTGCTCCTCGCTTCCTCCCCCTCTTCCCCCTCCTCCTCTCCTCCTCCCCCTTCCTCCTCCTCCTCCCTCCCGCGCAGTACATTATGAAAAACGTCCCATAATGCAACGCGCGCGTCACCGCGGTGCATTATGGGACGTTTCCCGTAGTGCACCGTGCGGTTACGCCGACACCGCTCAAACCGGAAACGGGCGCCTCAGAGCTGCACTCTAAAAAGTAACGTGGCAGTTACAAATTTACTTGAAAAAGTAAGGTATCGCTAGTAATACTTCTCCTGTAACGGATTGCTTCCCATGTGTGGTTCAAGCGCAAATGGTAATTGAGACCCTCACGTGTTGAGATGCAACTTCACACCACTTTTATGTGTTCTCTCTCTCCCTCTCTGTCAGCACTCCTTAGATGGCCTAAGTTCCCCCCCACACACACACACAGACACACCTTAGATGTTCAACCATGAACTAGAAGCAATTACAAGGCCAAACAGAAACCCTGGAGATGTATGACTCACGTTTCACCATGGTGGAATCAAACCTTTCCGTGACTTTGTTTGCTGATAAAACCATGTCAGTATAGCTGAAAAAAAAAAATAAGGAGGACGTGGTCATAACTGAGGATACGTTTGATGGAACATTCGCGACTCCAGCGACCTATAGGGGGCGCCACCACCAAACAAACATGGCGGCTGAGTCCAGGTCGCGTCGGCTCGGCCGGGCCGCCTGAATGGGTGGCGCAATCAATTCAACAATTATTCTTTTGTTGAATGCCCAATTTTATGGGTATTTGAACTGAGACAGTTAAGTTTAGCCGGTGCGCATAAACTTGCCGAGCATAGTTTTGTTTTGCCGGTGTTTTTTGTTCTTTTCATGTCAAACTTTCGCTGCGGAGACTTCAATCAAAACCGAAACTATGGGCTCCGGAGAAACGGTAATAGACTCAAATTAGTTTTGATCATCTAAGGAAAGCGGCGAGGGCTACAAAATTGTTCCACCAAGAGTAATGTTTAGCTAACTCGCATGCCTCGATCATGCGACTTACCTGTCCGCGAAATTGAGCTTTTGTGCCTGTCCGCGTTTCAAGAGACAGCTGCAGTCGTGTGCTCGGTCAAGAACACAGGCTGCAGGAAAATTAAGAAAATTAAGCAAGCGCTTCTTGAGCCAAGGAGCATGTCAACTCGCTGGCACTTCACTAAGCAGCTGATACTCGTATTTCAATTAAGGTTTTAGTAGCAATCAAGAAGCCATTTTGATGAATATGCGGTTATGTACTATATTACGTACTATGGTCCCACTAAAGCGATATTAGTATGTTCTTCGGGTTGAAATATGAACTTAGTTGACTAACTATTAGGGTGAACTGCTGAATAAAAGTATATTTGACAGACAGAGAGATACTACTTAAACTTAGCCAAATGGTTCTAGCCGGTAGAACGGAGACGAAAGCGGACAAGCTGAGGAGAGTCTTCATCGGAGATTCACTCAGACCTCTCTGCATTGAACTTGACTTCGAATCCTAAACAAATAAAATTATTATTATTTTTTTTTTGTGGCCGGTCAATTTGAGCAATGTAGACGTATATTGCTGCTGGATTCGACAGGGGTTATAAGTATTGGAGGCGCGATAGATCCTAATGACGTGACAGCTTCTATCTTTGCGAGACGCGTCCCCCACCTTTTGAAAGCAGATAATTTCCCTGATTAATCATATGCAGCGAGCAGGTTTTCTGAATCAAGTAATTGCGAAATTAGCCCAACTCCTTCAATATGGTCTTTTTCGGCGAAAAGCCGCCAAGATGAATAGCCAACACACCGGCCGGCGTTAGTGGCTCAAATTAACCTGAAGCTAATCGAGCACAACCAAACTCAAGGAAAGCAGCTATCGAACCTTCCCATTCACTTGACTGCAACATTGGTGTCCCCTCCAGTGAAACACTTCGTCTGTCGAGCTCAGTCTACTGTTCTACATCCTTATAAAGAAACTGCTTCTCAGTTACCAAGCAGTCGTCACTTTGATTGCGATTAGAGACAGACGACAAATCAAAACGTTTTTCCGTGATTCCTCCCCATCCAAAAAATTGAAAGCACGCGATCGTGTGTTGTGGAATAAACGGGCTTTCAAACACGTGATGGAAAGAAACAATCTACTGAGGCTTCACCACACTAATGAACACTCAGGCAAACTTAAGAAATTTTCGGACCTTCGTCAAACTACATTGCTCGCCGCCGCGCCGCCAGCACGCGTCCGCGAAAGCCATCAGAGACGCGGCGGGGCGCGGAGCGACCTGGACCGGCTGGTTCCCGGTTTTCCCGCTTGGCGGCGTCCGTTTTGCTGGAGTCGCGAATACACTGCAGAAATTTTCATACCTTATCGTACACCTTAACGGCTCTATTGCGAAGCTTAATCAATGTCGCGTAGCATTAGCTTTACTTGAAAGTTGGCCTTTTACACATACAGACTTGTAGCGACGTTGCGCATTGATGATGGTACTTCTCTTTAAAAATAAACCATAGGAATTTTTAGAAATTACGTAATATTTTCTTCTATACATGAATGTGGCGAATACAGTCAACACCTCCTAGACAGCTTTCAAAGCCTGCGCGTCACGTGGCATGACGACACGTCCCGGAGGCCTGCACGGACGCTGATTGGATGCCAGCGTTCGCGTGGGACTCGTTGTCTATCACAGTCCCACACGAAGGCTCACACGGCACTCGAACCCAATCAGCGCCCGTGCATGCCTCTGGGACGTGATGTCATGCCACGTGACGCGCAGGCCTTGAAAGCTGTCTAGGAGGAATTGGTACAGTGCTGTCAAATAAAGCGTTCTGAGCTACACGCGCATAATTTGGAAGCAGTACTAGTATTTAGTATTACTTTTTGACGCCAAGAAATGTTTAGATTCGCTGTTACTTTTAATTAGCAAATTAGTTCCGACAACTTGTAATTTCTACAGATGCCTGCGTATTATATTGTCATTTATGGTTTAAATGTTGTCAAAAACACTGCAGAATTTCAAACTTCCAGTGTTATTTTTTTTCCCGTTCTTGAAGGTGATTTTTGCATTCTCCGACCTATGTTGACCTGAAACACAAAATTCTATGTGTTGGTTCAATCCATGTACATGCCTACGTAAAGTAGCGAGCATGTGCTTAGAGTTCGGTGGACTTCCTACCTTATTTTTTTTTAAAGGAAGCTTTTGGTTGCTTGGGAAGAAATGTCATAGACTTGCGCCTTTACGTTTTGTTAGAAAATACACTCCAAGTTTTTTCATCGCTTTGTGATAAAATCCTGTATTATATCAAGCTTTTTCTACCTGCACAGCTGTTTTTTAACTTGTGTTCTCAGCAGTGTATTTCTTTTGTTTTCGATTTATTTTTCTTGTATATGTATTATTTGTTAAGTCTTTATTCTCAGCGAATTTTTTCACGTCGATCAAGCGGTAACACTCAGCACATGGCCGCTTTTTTATTTATTTAATAGTAGAGTACAATTTTTATTTGCTTCTTAAATTAAGTTCAAATATAAATTCCGCATAAGCCAATACTGGCTTTCGCGTGGCACGCGACAGATTCCTCGGCATTCTTTTAGTACAGAATCATGTAACTTGCACTAGAGCGCATCGTTGTGAAATACAGGGTGTCACAAAAGAAAATTTACACTGTTTTTTTTACCGCAAAAATAAACTAGGCATCGCCGAACGCTCATTCTCTGCCCAAAGGTAGAGCTAGGGGTCACAATCAGACGCCAAATTTTCAGCCCGATCCGGTAACTTAATCAAAAGTTCTAAGTGATTTTCTGAAAATTTCAATAAGAAAATGAAGCCTACTTTTGCCCGTTTTCGGTTTCTGGTGCCATTGAGACCCATGTGTTTGAAAACTCCGTCTGCCGCCATTTTCCCATTAAAATTTTCAGCAAATCACTTATAACATTTGATTAAGTTATCGGATCGGGCTGAAACTTTGCCATCTGGTTATGACCTCTAGCGCTACCTTTGGGCGGAGAATGAGCGTTTGGCGATGCCTAGTTTATTTTTGCGGTGAAAAAGACCTTGTAAATTTTCTTTTGTGACACCCTGTAGATGGGAGTTTCTAGCTCGAGAAACATAGAGTTACAGTCTCTTCTACTCATTCATTGAAGAGCAATAATATATATGTTGGATTTTGACACTACATTCGTCACGTCGGAGGCAGTGTATTGTGCCAAAATAAAAATGCAGATGATGATTTTCTGAAGCAAAGGATGCATTTTTCTTATTCAAGGGCCGATTTTGATAAAACCACATTGGAGGTAATTTTTGGGGTTTATCGGGATGTACCGAAAAACCTAAACGAGAGTCTCAGGTCGTGCGAACTGGGCACAAAGTTAAATCAAGATCCTGTTATTTCATGCTTCGAAGTGCGAGATGGCACCATGACAGAACAGCACACGACAAAACAGCACGCGTCAAAACAGCACAGCGTCAAAACAGCACGGCGAAAAAACAGCTTGCGTAAATATAGCACGCGACAAAACAGCACAGCGTCAAAACGGCACAGCGACAGAAGAGCACGTGCCAAAACAGCACGGCGTCAAAACAGCACAGCGACCAAATAGCTCCGTGACAAAACAGCGCAGCGTCAAAACAGGACATTGACAATATAGCTAGGGTCTGGCGTTTTTGTTTTTTAATAGTTTGAAATTCGGCGTACTTTTTTGGTTTTTATTCCAAACAGAAGTTTTCGGTTTATTGCGGTTAATATTTGTAGACTCATCAACTTCTCGGTTCTTTTCGGTTTATTTACGAAACCAGTATAGTGACGGAATTGCAATATTTAAAAGCGTTTATTTAAAATGTATAGTGAGTAAACCAAGTAGTGTTTTTTTCTTATTTGATGCTGTCTGTGGCAGCCGACGCGACCTGTTCTGCAAGACACACTGGGGCCCTATCGTGATCCGACATTATCGTCGTGTGCTCGTATTTTTACACAGGACGAACATGAGCTTCACTACCAATTCGGTCGTAGAGGCAATTGTCAAAATTCAGAAATTTGCAAGCGTTGTACTCAGTGCGTTTTTTCCTCCGTTTTCACGACTGCGAGAGGTGGTAAATTTGCGCCGACCAAAGAAAGGATAATAAAAACCATCGTATTTATGCGCTCCTCTTGTAGAAAGAAGCTAGCGGTGTTAAAAAAAAATATGCGGCATTTAGAAATTTCCTAATGTTCAGTTTACGATTAAACTCTTTTCTTTGAACAATGAATTCGGCACACAAATCCCTGTCGGGTGAGAAACCCATGTTTTCGTCCTGAATACGCGTGCGCCCCCTGGGATTTTCTTGAAAAATCAACCGATCTTGGAGACAAGCTGAAAACTGCGAAAGGAAGTGGTCATACGGTGAGTAATAAGTCACGCCCCCCACCCCTGCAAACGCCTCCGAAAATACTGGTCTTCTTCAGTTAAAACCGAATTTAGAGAACCGTATTCGGCGCACTTTTATCGGTTTTATTCGGTTTAAGCCGAAAACGATGAACCCTAAAGATAGCGCACACAGTTAAAAAATGCACGTCTCAAAGTAGACACTCTAAAGGAATGGAGGG